AAAAACTTAGGTGATTTATGACTCAATTTTTTTTTTTTTTTTTATGTTGGTTACACAATAGGAGGCAATCCTCTCCTATCCCTTATTTCACCTAACTGCATGCCATGCGACTTGAATTTAGAATCTCTTACTTCTAGTGAAAGGAGAATATCATTAAATTACTTAGATCGTTAGCCTATTTATGACTCATGGTTGGACTCAATTTAAAACAATAATGATGGCATAGATCTAAACCTTAATTTATCAAGAGACAATTATTTATAACCTTCTCATTCTTTGATATATAGAACGCATCCTTGGCCTTTTTTATTAATCATTTCAATTCACTCTAGGAAGATAAAAATATAAGAAATTAACAAATACATAAAGTCTAGAATGGATTTCAGTAAAAAAAAAAACTAGGAAACAAAATGCATGCAGCTAGCAATCATGCAGTCGTTCCACATGTAATTACACTTTTAATATGTAGTTCATATTGTAATGAATCTCCAAGAATAAAAAGAAAGTGACAAGAAGTGAGAACCAAAACTTAAATAAAGAGAACTATATTTGGTGGAAAATTATTTGTTCAAAAAAGTAGCAACATTAATGTTGGACCTTTTATAAAGAAGGCCAAAATAACTCAAGAGTCTTTTACTCCTTCCCTGCAATTGCTTGCAAGTTTCCTCGTTTACATTTACTTGACCACATTTGTCAAGTAAATGTGAAAATTGACAAGCAATAAATATAATGCATGTACATGCCAATATGTAATATAAGAGTGGAAGAATTTCAAAGTAGGAACCAATTTCTAGATAATTTAAGTCTATGAATGAAATAGATAGGTATAGAAATTTCAAACTAAGAAAGTAGTATAGAAAGATTTATGTTTAATGGATGAATAAGAATCTCTTAAATTCTCCATAAAGCATTGATACATATAGCACTTCCTAATCATAATAGTAGTTCATATATAAACATCATTCATCACAAACATAGTGTAGTCAATATTAATTGAAACTTCAAAAGGGAAAAAAAAAAAGCTGCTTTACAATTTGAACACAAGGGCATTGACGAAGACTTAAATCATAATACCATAACCAAGACTCAATCAAGTTTTTAAAGAAGTCGTTTTACAATTTGAACACAAGGGCATTGATGAAGACTTGGATTATAATACCATGATCAAGAGTTAATCAAGTCTTTTATTAGTACAGAGTCTTTAAAAATATTAATTCTCACCATTCAATTAATTCTTGAACAAAAAAATTATAAGTTAATATTCTTAAATATAAAAAAATAAAAATTGATATTTTTAAATAAAAATAAAAATTTTATATTTTATTTAAAAATTAATAAAATTGAT